TCTATTGCGAGCAGTTACTACTGTATACCGGTAAACGTTTGTGTCGGTGGTGTTTAGGTCGATTATTATTTGTTCATTTACATGATGTCAACCTATTCTGAAGACCATTCATCTGAAAATCAAATAGTACTTGTTAATATAATTAAACATCCCGGAAATCAAAAATAAACGACGTAAGGCGGTTGAAGAAATAAAAGAAAAGGTAGAAGCCGAATTAGGAGTTAAATATAATGAAGGGCAGATTTGGAAGAAGATTCAAAACATAAAAACCAGATTAAATTTAGATCATGCTAGATACTTACTTAGACCCGAAAGCCATGAAGAGTTCTTGACATTGCATCTCTTCTAAATTGACCTCTCTGACGTATCACTCCATTTGCATAGTCGGCAGTATGTTGGTTATGTATTTCTTCTTGTTCGCCATCTCCCGGTATATAAACAGCAAAATCTTTATCATTAAGGTGCTTAGCCACATTATGCAAGATAAAACATCTCATGACAAGGGAGGGCACTTTTTCTGTATCGACGCGTATTTTGTTATGTAGAATGGGAAAACGCTGTTTTAGTTGAACGAAACATCTCTCTATTATAACTCGTTCTCTCGTAAACAGCCGATTATATGATGTTTGTTCTGATGTTTCTGCAATCCTAAAAGGAGTCATGAGCCAAGAAGCTATACCATACCCAGAGTCTCCCAACAAAACAGCACTAGCCCTATTCCATTTCATAACGTTGTATATATCAGAATTCTTCCATATCCGAGAGTCGTGTACAGATCCTGGCCAAGAAACATCCACACTTGTGAACTCTTCGTTTGAATTGCACGTTGCTTGTACATTTATACTAGCAAAGTTCTTTCTGTTCACATATTTGTCGGCATGCATAAACGGCTTCAGAATAGGTATATGGGTGCAGTCGATAGCACCAATAGCTGAAGGAAAATTGAACGTTTCTTGCCACTTATTTTTAGCATTGTGTAGATCTTCACATGAGGTTGGTAAGAATCTAATCCAAATATTCGACTTCTGCACAATGCGTGTTATAACGTTGGTAACGGTTCGGGATACCGTAGATTGATGGACACCAATATCTTCTCCTATGATAATTTGAAATCCTCCCACGTATCGTAAAAAACCCTCATTCTTTCTATATTGCTCAAAGCACCGCCCCTATATTCTTCTGTCTCTCCAAGAAAATTGTTACTTTTTTAACTTACTTATTTTAACTTTACTAAACCGATATAAGGCCCGATAGTCTACTTCCCTTGATTCCCTACGATCTTTGAACACCTTTGCAGGCATAAATTCGGCCATTTCGTGAAGACATCCACTTCTTATAAAGCTGAGTCTACTACTAAGGTATCTCGCATTTCTTTAAGTATGTACTCAGCGGTCGGAGTGGACGCTCGCTTTTATGCATATAAAAATTAAAGTCGGCACTCAAGGAGCGAGTACAGCCTCACGGAAAGAGTAGGAACTTATGAGTGTGAGCTTCTACTTACATGTTATGCATATCAAATGGAGTGGCTACTTTAAAAATGCGAGTCAAAAGTAGCCACTCGCCTTTATGCATATCACCCACTATATGTGCTGTCTTTTTGCTGTTCTTTTATGTATCGTTTCTGGAGCATCTCTACCAAGAGTCCAACAGTAGTCTGCAAGCATGGAAGGATTCCACTTTCCCTGGTACCTTTTTTCCATTGTTGAAATATCCTGATGAAAACGTTCGCCGTGCTCATCACTTACGGCTCCGCAATTGTCAGGAAAAAAGTCCAGGTGTGAGTGTAGGAAATGTATCTTGAGAGACATATTACAGTCCATATTTTGATACGATGACAGCATATTTTTGACAAGGGTTTTATAGTTATCAGCTTTTCTATTTCCCAAGAAATTAGTGACCACTAGACGGAAATCATTCCAAGCAGTTTTTTCAATACCTGTTAAAGTGTTTTCAAACTGTGTATCTTTCAAAATATTTCGAATCTGTGGCCCAACAAAAATACCTTCTTCAACCTTTGCCTCACTTAGTCTTGGAAATTTCTGACGCAGGTATTGAAAAGCTGACCCATCTCTATCTAATGCCTTGACAAAGTTTTTCATTAGGCCCAACTTGATATGCAGTGGTGGTAATAATTTTTTTTTCGAATCTACTAATGGCATGTGCTGTACATTTTTTTGACCTGGCTCTAGGAATTGACGAACAGGCCAGTTGTCTGGTATAATGAAGTGCCTTTGCCCGACTGTCCCATTCACACAAAAAACAGCAAAACTTTGTATAGCCTAGCTGCAGCCCAAGTAAAAGTGCAACAACTTTCAAATCGCCACAAATATGCCATTGGTGCTCATCGTATTTTATGCATGTCAATAGGTACTTCATATTGTCATATGATTCTTTCATGTGAACTGCATACCCTACAGGAAGAGATGGTAAAATATTTCCAATATGCAATAACACTGCCTTTAAACTCAATGTTGAACTGTCTATAAACAATCTCCATTCTTATGGGTTATAGTTTATATTTAAAGCCGCCAGTAAGCCGTTAATATTACTGCAGAAAACCAAGTTATTCTCCATATTGAAAAATGGTTCTAAGTCTTTGTGGCGTTTACGAAAAACACATACCGAAACATCGTCTTCTAACAAGTTCCACTGCTGCAGTCTTGATCCAAGTAACTCTGCCTTACATTTTGGAAGTTCTAAATCTCTTACAAGATCATTTAATTCTGACTGTGTTATTTTGTGCGGTTGGTGGCATGAAGTGCTCGGTATAAAATCAGGATCTCTTGACGTTGATGGCATATCTTCTTCCTGACGAATCACTCGATCGCCATGATCTGATTCGTTTTCTGATTCGCAAGTGTAGGATTTTGGGGGTTTTGGAATAGGGTTTTCGCAGATGGTATGTTTGGGTAGTTAATAACCGATTTTTTTTTTCTTGGACATACCTGTGGCTTGTCCAACACAAGGTACCATGCAAAAGTAACAATCATTAATATGATTTGTAGTCTCTCTCCAAACCATTGGGACAGCAAAGCGCATAGACCGTTTTTTGCCATTTAACCAGCTCCTCAGACTTGAAGCACATGTATTACAGCAGAGGTGGGGTGCCCACTGTTTGTCTTGATCACCTAGTTTACAACCGAAATAAAGCTGATATGCCTTTGTTATTAGTGGAGTAATAGACCGTCTCTGAGACGCAAAAGTCACATCACCACACACGTAACAAAACTGATCTGGATTGTTTACGCACTTTCGAGACATCTTGCATGAACGCTGTCAGCCAACTGAGGAAAAAATGGCTAATATAAAACAATATAATGTACACGTATGTATAACGTAACACAATCATGCCGATTACATCATCTTTCCTTGCCGAATATAAAAATGTAGCACGTGCATTCTTGTGAATTACAGTATATTAACACTGTCACAGCAGGAACACATATAATTACCGTATTTCTAAAACTTGAACTAATATTGAAAAAATAAGTTTCATTCCGGTTTTAGCACATTAAAAATAGTAATATTTTGTTGATTTTATTTAGGATATTTTTTGGCTGTTGATCAGTGTCATCGCAACAAGAATACCTTGCTGAGTTACTGTCTGTTTTCGGCAACGAAGCGCCACATCAGTCGACAATTTCCCGTTGGTATGGATAATTCAAACGTGGACGGGTGAGTCTTAGCGACGATCCCAGGGTGGGTGCACCAAAAACGGCAGTCCCCCAGGAAAACGTCGATGCTGTGCGCAAACTCATCATTGAAGATAGACATGTGACATATCGCGAGATTGAGGCGTCCTTGAAGATCTCAAGGACCTCAATTCAAAAATTTTACATGAAGAATTAGGAGTAAGAAAATTAGTTTCTCGTTGGATAGCCCACCTGTTGACTGAAGAGCAGAAAGCAGCCAGGGTTAATTGGTGTCAAAAAACACTTGACCGTTTCAATTCCGGAAAATCAAAAAATGTGTACAGCATTGTTAGTGGTGACGAATCGTGGATTTACTATTATGAACCAGAAAATAAATGACAGCCGGCTGTTTGAGTGTTCCGAGGTGAAGAAAACCAACAAAAGTCATCCGTTCTCGAAGTGTTTCGAAAAAGATGGCTGCGACATTTGTGTCAAAAGCGGGTCATATTGCAACAATTCCTCTTGATGAGCAAAGAACTGTTACTGCGGATTGGTATACCACCATTTGTTTGCCAAAAGTCATCACCGAGCTTCGAAAAATCAACCCCGAAAGAAGAATCATCCTCCACCAAGACAATGCAAGCTCGCACACAACCCAAAAAACAAGGCAGTATTTAACGGAAGAAAACGTAGAATTATTGGACCACCCTCCATATAGTCCCGATCTAAGTCCTAACGATTTCTTTACTTTCCCGAAAATTAAAAACAGACTGCGTGGTCAAAAGTTCCAGTCACCAGAAGAAGCAGTTGACGCATTCAAAAATGCCGTGTTGTATCTGCCAGAAAACGAGTGGAATAAGTGCTTCGAAAATTGGTTCGAGCGCATGCAGATGTGTATTAATCTTCGTGGAGAATACTTCGAAAAACAATAAAGTCATTTAAAACTATCTACCATGTTGTTTTATTTCCATATGCAAAACTTAAAAGAATGGCCCATAAATGAGAAAGTCATCCAAAAGCTGATCGCTCTGGACGCGTTTCAACTCCTAGACGATAGAGCCATCAAACAAGCTTAATAAACGAACTCTTTTGAACTGTATACTAGTGTGAAGCAGAGTACCCGTGACGTGATTGAATGCGACAAAAAAAGCGCACTGTATTCTGTCATCGATTCAAATGACAGATTCAAGGCTATTCCGATGAAATTAGTCTATTGTAACATTATTCTCTGTAATCTTAAGATTAACGCCTATTACTTTTGCCAACTTAAAAACTGTAACCAAAAAAGTTAGCGTCCCTTGTTGCTATTAGATTGTTGTCTAGTATTTAGTGTAATCTATTTATTTAATTGCTCTTTCTTTGTTTCAGGTTACATCAGCTTCTGTGGATAGAGAGTAGTACCATGTGAATATAGTGAGAGTGAGTGCGAATATAGTGTGCGTGACTAATATGTGCAGAAGTTCAGACGCCCCTACCTAAAGATATATATACACACACAGGTGAAGCAGTGTTAAAACAGATAATTAGGAAAACGATGGAAACTTCAACCAGGTTGCTCATCTACGCTTTGTGGATACTCATCTTTCCGGAACTTTTTACAGGTGAGTTCACAATATTATAGTTTTGAGAAAATGATCCAAGGATTGCAAACACTGTAGTATCGAAGTTCTGCAGTTTGTTAGCGCTGATATTACGTAAATCAAGGTTTACGGTTATTAACACTAATTTAGCCTCTGATGTTTGAGTTGTATTGTGTGTAACATTGGTGACAATATGCTGTACAAATAGGTTTATAAGGCTTAGATTGCGGCAACTGTTTGGGCTCATCCAAGTAGTTAGCACCATTTACGTAATATTTACACCGCTCCCGCTTGTCTACGAAAGTAAGCAAATCTCTTCACCCCCTATGCTTACGTACACATCGGTATATGAATATTACGTCTTTAAATCTGTTCAATGTTTCTTTATTGTAATTCATGTAAATTTACTGCACAGTCAATATTTATTCGAAGAAGATGTAACTTTTTTTTTATTATAATACGAATAAAACGATATTATTTTTTGTATTTAAAAATTTGATAAATTCCTATCAATTCTCCTCAGTACATAGCAGCTAGAATTTCCAAGATTTTAATTTCAGCATTGTACTGAGTCTTTTAGAACTGTTTATTTAAATTCAATCTATCTTGCACAAACGTAGTTACACAGTCGAGGTCTAAGCGTTCGACGCGGTGGCTCGTAGGCGACTGATGTCGTCTCTGGTGGTTCCTGCGGACTTGGGACTGAACGGTGGAATTTCCAACATTTTGGGCCGCTTTGTGATTGGATTTTGTTCGAGTCTTCTGTATGCCTGGTTTTTTTAAGGGATATTCCTTCATTCCAAAAGAATGGGGGCCGATATGTCAAAACTTTTTGAGTAGACGCCCTAACTCTCACTTGGCGTACTAAAGTGGAAACATCCCAACTAACAATTATCACTCCTATTCTAGTTGCAAGAATGATTATACAGTATTCCTTAAACAGCATTGTATACTGAAAGAACATTGGCAAAACCCTCTTAGAACAGCTATACAAGCGGAATTTGCACACCTAATAGGACACTTCAGTCATTTAAGAGGTTGTATAAGGGCTGCAGGTAACAGTTATACGACAAAAGTGTAAGCCTCCTGCAGCCGCTATAGGACATTTACGTCAGTGCAAGATTCAGTTTTTGTCAACTATACAACTATTCTGTTACGTGATTCTACTTTATTGCGACCAAACTATTTCTTATGTATTGTATAGACGAAGTGAAGAATATATAACTAACACATTACAGTCATCTTGTTTACTTACATATCGGACATTGTGAGTTTCAAAGACATGTATATGATAAACTTCTACACTGCGATATAGGGCTATTGAATTACTTGCGCAGCAAATTTTATTGTAATTATCGTGCAAATTAGTTACTCAATTTCTACGGGCTTCGTATTTGATTCATATTTTGATAATGATCAAAAGTATGTCTAGATTTTTAAGATGGTAAACTGAACTTATCTGCGTTAAATCTTCCACAAATCCTATATTTAGACACAATTACACAAATGTTTATCACTTTATATCTGTAATTTCGAACTGAAACATAATTAATTAATATTAAATAGAGGAATAAATGTTTGCCCAAAATGGCGGGTGGTTGTGTATAATCATGGCATCGTCCATGTTGTCTTTAGGTTATTAGAATATTTTGGTGTTGCCTGCAGGTGTAATACAACAATTTGACAAATGTCTGAAATGAAATACCGACAAAGTCGAATGATTTACCCAGAATTTGTACCAGATCTATATCTTCTGTTTGAACAGTTGATAAAACCTTTTGAACCAATATGCATGCGTTGTTTGTCTTAAAACATTGGTTATGGTATTTTAACAAAAATATGACAGCAGAAAGTTAGGTTATGGTGAAGTTGTATAGCAACATATTTAGCATATGTACAGCTTTTAACAGTTACTAAACAACAGTGGTATAAGTGGTTCGGTTGGGAGCAATTTGTTGGCTAAAGTAGTAAATTGCACAGCAAAACAACAAGGCTCGGGTTTGTTTTATAAACGTTACCATGGATGCCACAATACAACCATTTTGATTAACGTGCAAATATGCCGTATAAAATAGTTGTATAAATGTTTATGCAACTGTTATAAGGTGTTGTATAGCTATGCTATAAGAATATTTTAAACGCCTCATTTTAGAGCAAATATGTTGCAGAAAGCAAATTTGCATTCCACACAACATTAAGCCAGCATTTTGGTGTTCAGGCAACAACAATAGAGAGCTTTTATGGCTGAACGGTTCTTTTACCCAAAGCTTATACCACTACTTTGCTAGTTGGGATGCATGTTAGTTTAGAAACATTGCTCCAGCTGCTAAGTCACATAGCTAGCCAAAACGGTTTACACAGTCTATCACCAAATCTAAGATCAGAGGGTTGGTGCTGACGCAGACGATTTTCACATTATGAATGGTAATTACAACTTGAAACGTATAGTGTTACCTAGGAAAATGGCTTTTTAGCTAATTGTGAATCTCGATTCACGTTCAAAATACGCTGCTTCCCGGTTCGCCCTTTGAAATGCCAGGATACTGGAAAAGGGGCACAACGGGGACCCAGACGGCACACACATCGTTTTGCCCATATAATCTGGTAGAGGAAACAATATATCACCAGAATATCATAAACTAATGATTGAGTTTTGCTACGCAGGTTTAATCGTAGCGGGAAATCCACGTGAAGATCACTGCATTTCATGCAATGCATAGTGTAGAGGACGATTGTGACTACATTCGCCTCGAAGCTGCAACTAAAAGTGTCCCGTTAATTAAGTTGTACAGTTTAATAAGTTGCAGTATTTGTACGGAGATCTCCCATAGAAGGAGGATATAATGTGCGAAATCAATAATGGCATTCTCAAGCGAGGTGCGAGTAGACAAGGTAGAGCTAAAATAAGTGATCAAAGAGAGTAAACCTCTGATAAAGTTGCACGGTTCATATAGATGAGCTAAATCACTACACACAGTGCTTTGCTTCATGCACTGAGTGCGTGTGAACTGAAATATTGATATGAATCACTAATTTACTATTACTATTGTGTTGTTATCTATGGTCATCCAGAGCATAGCAAAACTTTTAACTTTGGTATACAACACGTCTGCAAAATCTCAGACTCCGCCTAATTTTTATAATTCCAAATGCTTCTCAAACCATTATTTCCTGGATAAATGAAACGAGGTTCTTCTCCGACATTTATTATTCACCATTTGATTCCGAGGTCGTTTTCAATTTAGGGGTATCAGGATGCTGAATTTACAACATTCAAGTAGATCGTCGTAGCAAATAGTCCGAAAGGTCGAAATAACTTATTTCGTGGAAATCGCTAAACAGAAATTGAATGTTGGCCAGCCTACAGAAAAACTTCTTTCAGGCATTCAACTTGAACACAACTTCTATAATTGTAACAAGAAAATGAAACACAAAGTGAAATAGAAATGAGGCAGCACAAAGTCGCAGGATCGACTAATGAGAGTGAAAACAGCAAACTGTCTGTTGGAACTGTATCCCAGTTCGCATTTAACCGGGTCAAGACTTTTTCAGATAGATGCCACCGATTTTGCTGATAGATGACTTATATCAATAGACCTTATGTCAGCTTTCGATCGTTGTCTTACCTGATACCATGCACGAAAAGCTGCCCGAGGTTTGTGCCCATATTACTAGTTTGTTCAATGGCGAGTATACCGTATCTTCTATAATACCAGAATCGACGGCATCTAGCGGTCGCAGTGGTGACCCAACTGGTAAATGTGAACCAGGATACACGTACAATACACTGCTTGCTGTTTTCACTTTCGCAGTGGTCGATTCTGGTAATAGGTCACTTTGTGCTGAGTTATTTCGATAGACCTTATGCTCTGAATTGAGTAGAGTTGGTCAGCTTTCGTTCGTTGTTGACAGAGACCAAGTGTTGCCAAATAGCACGAAACAGCTTCCATGGTTGCCTGCCTGTGATCGGACGATCCAAAGCTATATAACTAGTTAGTACAAGGTGGAGTGTTCTTGTTATCAGTTTGAGTTAGCATACATACTTGACTTCTTTTTCACTACTCAGTTTTTTAGAGTAAATCTCCAAAACAATGAACATAGTAATAGTGACTGTGTTGTGCAAATATTTGAAAGTATTACAGAAAAGGAAAGTATTAGTAACCCAGGCACGCAGAAGAAGCGCATTCGTAACTTTAAGAGGTGATTCCTTGCATTATTCTAAGCAAAAAAGTTCATTATAACCTATGTCCGAAAATCAACCGTTTCGGAGCAAATAAATGCTAAACTTGTTTCTTTCTAGTCATGAAATAAATTAATTTTGCACCTTAATACATAATTTGGATTCATATGCCTAATAGCGTAAAATGTATCAAACTTCTATTTATTAATTAACTATCTCTAACAAAATAATTTTCTTGCATATTAAATACAATTTTCCGTAGAAAAACAGAAAAGCAAAATCCCTCACACAACTGGCAACGTCGTATTCCGCCTGCACTGCATGTATCATCGCGTGTTGTTGTGATTACTAATACGTTTAACTGTAACTTTTTGTGATTTACGGATGTTAGTTTTTTCTTTTTTCGTGCATCACATCGTTTCAAATAAGTGACTGATAATCGTGGGAATTGGTGGTGTGTATCGCCACGTACCGGTAAATTATGTCATTTTTTTCAAGTAAATGTACTGTACTGAAAGCGTTATTAAATAGAAAATATTAGCTACAAAAAATTGTGTAAAAGTATTCAATAATTCAAGGCATATTTTCAGCAAAAATATCATACAAACGTAAACAATTCGATGAATCAGTTGCGGTCGTCGTGGGCTCGTATCGCGGTTGTGTTGCAGCGTTGCCAAATGTTTGAGAAAATCTAATTATTTATGACTCACTTTCCTCGAAAACGAATAATTAACTTTTTTGCTTAGAATAATGCAAGGAATCACCTCTTAAAGTTACGAATATTATTTCCCTAACACCCTGTATAGCGTAGATGTTTACATTTAGAATATGTTTTGAATGC